CAGAATCGCCCCCCCGCCCGGCCCGCCCGCCAGCACGCCGAGCCCAATAATCCCAAACCCCATGCCCATCCGCGTCCCAATCATAGATCGATCCGCCGTCAACCCCACAAAACACAACGGCGGCAACCCGATCAACGCCCCGCTAAAGAACCCCGCCACGAGCGCGACGCCCACCAACCCGCCCAGCGTCATCACGCCCACCATGGCAAACAGCAAGGGGCGATCAGATTGAACGGCCCCAGCCGATCAGCCAGGGCGTTGGGGAGGGTGCGCCCGAGACACGAGGCCGCGTTGAGGATAGGCACGATGTAGAACGCCATGTGCTCGGTGGCGAGGCGCCGCTCCGCCGCGGCGTAGGAGATGTAGAACAGCAGGACGAACAGCCCCATGAACGCCAGCAGCGACGCCCCCACGAAGAGGCAGTAGTGGAGGTCGGTGCAGGCGGCGCGGTCGACCAGGGCGCGCACGCGCGGGGGCGATGCGGGCGATGCGCGCTGCCGCATGACGGCGAGCGGGAGCGCGAGGGTGGCCAGCGCCACGAAGCCGATGATGCGCACGGCCCAGGCAAAGCCTACTTGAGGGAGGAGCCGGTACAGCATCACAGGGTAGATGATTCCGCCGACCGAGGAGCCCGACACGGCCAGCCCCGTCGCGAGCCCCAGCCGGCGGCTGAAGTAGTGCGGTAGCACCGAGACGCACGGCACGACGAGGCAGCCCGCGCCGAGGCCGATCAGCAGGCCCTGCGACAGGAGGATTTGGTAGTACTGCGTGCTGAGGCTGAGGAAGACGTGGCCTAGGAATATGCAGGTCGTGCCGCACGCTAACAGCGCCACGAGGTGCCCGCGGTCGTAGATCGGGCCCGTGATCGCCCCGATCACTAGGAGGAGCGTCGCTTGCGTGGACCCGATCCACGAGATCGCGCTCGCGCTCGCGGTCCGAGTGGAAGCGTAGTGCGTTTGGAAGACCCCGAACGTGTTCAGGAGGCCCCATGTGTTGAGGAAGAGGGCGAACCCGCCCAGGACCTGGAGCCAGAGGCGGAGGCCGCCGTCGGGTGCGGGGGGGATACGAGGGGGTGGGGGTGGGGGGAGGGGTGGAGTGGGTTTTTCGGTGGAGGGGCTGGTGGGCGTTGAGCTGAGGGTGGGGGTTGTTTGGGTGGATGCGTCCAGCATTTTGGTGGCTTGGAGAGGTGTGTTGATGGTGCAGGTATGTAGATGGTAGATTGCAGAATCAGAAATCTGGGGGGATGATGTGACTGTCCGTGCCTGTAAAGATGGATGTTGATAAATACAGTCAGTCTCAGCCTGCAGGGCGTCCGAGTTAGGGCTCGCTCGGAGACGGCGTTTCGGGGTTTTGGCCAGTTGGTGCTATTCTCCGGGTGGTTACAGGTTGACTTTGCGGGGCGCGCAGCCACTGTCTTACGGTGGGTTGAGAGAGTTTGATTTTGGATAGGAGGGGATTCGCTCGGAATATCCTTGACTCTTGGCCAATGCTTTCCCATGGCCAGGTCGATACTCTCCGGCTGACCAAGGAAATCTGGTTGTTTTGGTAGGAGGGGAAAGCCACACGAGCTAATGTCTTACAGAGCCGTAGACATACTTCTGTCTTCCCTGCCGATACTTTGAAAGCAGTGTAGCTAGCTGACAAGGCTGCAGAAGAGATCGTCAAGCAGGCAGTTGCTCGTCACCAAAACCACCGCGTATGTGCCTGATGCGCCTGCCTGATGCGCCGCCCCGATAATTGCTACAACTCGGAGCCGCGGGGGACCAACAGAATGAATCAAGTCAAAGGGTCAGGTGGAAAGGGCTAGCTTGAGGGTCTCTTAAAGGCGAATGCATCTACGCATGGTAAACGGAAGTGGTTTGCATTGTAGTGGTTTGGTCGAATTGATCCATCAGGGCTGGATTTATGGGCACAGTAGATGAGAAGAAAGTATGAGATTTCGCGACGACGGCAGCTCGACAAGAAGTGTTAGCAGATGGCCCAGTAAGAATGTGTATATCCGAAAGTTGGTGGTGCCCTTGTGCCGCATATCAGCCATTCATACAGAGTCGATCTCGCTGCATTATTACGACAGTGTTGCTGCGCCATCAAGTCTAGTCCACCCCCATCTTCTCCCTATACAGCCCAACGGCCTCCGCCTTCATCGCCTCATAATCGAAAGACCAGATCTTATGGGACCGGTCCTTGAGCTCCTCAAAGCAAGTCTCCGCCTTGACCCATTTGGACGGCTCGCCCCATTCGATCTGATGGTAGAAATCACGTACCGTGCGGCTGCTGTTCACCAGCCACTGGGTTCGCGTGCGGCGGACAGCACCAAAAGTCTCAAAGGCCGTCTTCAGGGCGGTCCCCTTGAGCGTCGGCTGCTTGCGGATGGTCTCCACCACCTCCACCATAAGACTCGACAAACACAGCGCATCCTCAATCCCCATTCCTGCCCCGGCCCCGTGGTGGGGAGTAGAAGCGTGCGCCGCGTCACCGGCCAGGCAGATCTTCCCCCGACTATAATACGGTGCCGGGTACTCCCACAGATCAAAGCACGCCCATTTCTCCAGCCCCTCCGGGAACAAGCAGATCACGTTGCGCACACAGGGACTCCAGTCGGCAAATGCTGCCTCCAGCTCCCCGCGCGAGGCCGGCGCCACCATCTGCTTGTCATCGAGCCAGCCCCCAGAATCCATGACAAACGCCGTGGCGTTGATCAGAGTATTGTTGGCCACCGGGTAGTGGATGAGATGGGCCCGCGGGCCGACGTGGTTGTGCTGGTTCCGGGCCTTGTATTCGCCCAGCGCCGCGATGGCCGCCTCCATCGGGATGAGCGTGCGGTAGGCCACCTCGTGGGTGTAGTGCGGGTATGAGACGGGGCTGCCTTCCCCGAAGAGAATCTCTCGGACACGAGATTTAATGCCGTCGCAGCCGATGACTTATCTCCGTCAGTCAGGCCATGTATAAAGCAAAGACATGCACTCACCGGCATCGACCTCCACCCGCGTCCCATCCACAAACCCCAAACCAATCTTCTCATCCAGCCCGCGTTCCTCAATCCATTGCAAGCGTCGTCGACACCAGATGGCCTCCGGCGGCACGACCTTCACCAACGCCTCCAGGAACTGGTCCCGCCGACACCCTTCAAAGCCCCGATATCCGGCATCGATCTGGTACAGCATCCGCTGGTAGGCGGGATCATTCGGATCAAGCTGGTTGTACCCGTCGATCCAGCGCAGGTAGTCATGGGCCTCCTTCACCCCCGCGTTGCTCGCGGAGGTCGCGACCGATCCGCTCGACCGCAGCGCCGTCACGATGGCCGGGTCCAGCTGCTCCATGCACTGGATGGCGTTCGCGGTGAAGGCGATCCCCGCGCCGATCTCGCGGAAGCCGTGCGCTTGCTCGTAGACGGTCACTTGGATCCCGCGCCGGAGCAGGCCGACGGCCAGCACGAGGCCGACAATCCCTCCGCCGATGATGGCGATCTCGATGGGTTCGGGGCGGAGTGGGGTGGGCATTTCGCTGTCGTTCGTGTCTGTCGATGAATGTAGGGCTGTAGGTTAATCTTCGGGATCTCAGACGAGTATACGCTGCGAGGAATGGAGGTGCCAGGTTAGGGCTGTATGCTAGAAGCCTTATCAAGATCGTCAACAGTATTCTCTCCTCCGAGAGATACAGTTTCTCTCGTTCGGACGGGGTATCCCATGGCGGAGTAACTGACTGCCCGTGTATTATCTGTATGTCGTTGCGTCCATGACCGGTCAGCTCGGAGTATCTCACACTATCGTATCCGGGTCCATGGTACAGTACTCGGGTCAGGAAGAAATTCCTGAATGTCATCTGGATGTACTGTCGGCCTGCTGCCTGTGCTCAATAAATTGGTCATCTTGCCGGGATCTGCCCTAGACTCCCATGCCAACGCACCATTTCAACAACTACAATCCTCATTGCCATTGGTGGCCTGACTCAACAACAGCCATCGAGATGTCTGATTCCAAGCCCGCAGTTCTGCTCTTCGGCTCCCTTTCCCTGTCCTTCGACGAGAAGGCCTTTCAACAGCTGCAGAGGACCATCATAGCTGATGGAAGACACCACTGGGCCTGGGAGACGCTCACGTGCCTCCCCCATTCCTATCAAACGATCGTGGCTGCCGTCCCTGCTCTGGAGTCTGCTTCTACTCTCCAACACCTCCACGACCTCAAGAAGGCCGTCCAACGTCAACAGCCATTGACCATACCTTTCCCTCTGCCGAATTCGGCCCTAATTCCCCTTGTTGTAGTCTTCCAATTGACTCAATATGCGGATATGGTTGAGGATGCCGCCATCGACCTGGACCCCCGGATTGACCTCTTCGCTGCATCAATCCACGGCCAAGAAACATTGGGCTTCTGTACCGGTCTCCTCAGTGCCATCACGGTCTCGAGTGCCCGGAACAAGGAACAGTTCTGCCACTTTGCTGCCGTTGCCGCCCGACTGGGTCTTCTTGTTGGCATGGTCGTCGACGCATGTGATGCCGCGTCTATGGGACCGTCACGATCGCTGATTGCCGCCTGGAGCTCAGAGAAGAAGCAGAATGAGCTGCATCAGATACTCCAAGATTTTCCAAAGGTAGGGTGATTCCCCCAGCCTGCGCTCAAACATCTAACTTACCCAACCAGGCGTATCTGTCAGTTTACTACGATGAGGATCGTGCAACGGTCACCACCGCAGCCTCAACACTCTCCCCACTGCTGGAACAATGTCGAGCAGCGGGCATCCTAGCTGCAGAGGTCGGGCTATACGGGCGATTCCACAGTGACGCCCACAGCAATCTTCTTCCAGCTATTCTCGAACTCTGCGACGCCCACCCGAGCTTTCAGTTTCCGGACGCCTCAGAACTGGTCATACCAACACGATCCAATGCCGGAGGAGCTTTCATCCACCAAGGGTTCCTGCACCGCCATGCTCTTCAGCAGATCTTGATAGACCCACCGCAGTGGTTTGCGGCAGTTGACACTGTCCGCAAATCACGGCTGCAAGAAGACGACGCTCATGTTGTCTCCTTCGGCACAGAGCGCTGTATCCCACCCTCTCTCATGCGCACAGTCGGTCAAAAGGTGATCCAAGCGCCCGTGCTGGGAGCTCGCAGGCTGCCTCGTACACGTATTCCGGCAATGACATTGCCGTTGTCGGGATGGCGTGCAAAACCGCCGGTGCGGACAACCTCGAGGAATTCTGGGACCTACTTTGCGCGGGGGAGTCTCAGCACAAGGAAGTACCCCAGGAGCGTTTCGGTTTCGAAACTGTCTTTCGAGACGTCGACCACAAGCGCAAGTGGTTTGGGAACTTCATCAATGGTCATGACGAATTTGATCACAAATTCTTCAAGAAAAGCCCCAGGGAAAGCGCGACAATGGATCCGCAACAGCGCCACCTACTGCAAATTGCCTACCAGACCGTAGAACAATCCGGCTACTTCCACAATCCGAGTCCTGACAAGCGGATCGGCTGCTATATAGGTGTCTGTGCCTGTGATTATGAAGCCAACATCGCCTGTCACGCTCCGAATGCTTTCTCCGCGACGGGAAATCTGCAAGGATTCATTGCTGGAAAAGTCAGCCATTTCTTCGGCTGGACCGGCCCTGGTCTCACCATCGACACTGCATGCTCCTCCTCGGCGGTTGCGGTTCATCAAGCCTGCAAGGCAATTGGAGGAGGCGAGTGCAGCGCGGCCCTTGCTGGTGGCACGCATGTAATGACCAATCCACTGTGGTTTCAGAATCTGGCAGGCGCCTCATTTTTGAGTCCCACTGGACAATGCAAGCCATTTGATATCAGAGCAGATGGGTACTGCAGGGGAGAGGGTATTGCAGCTATCTTCCTGAAGAAGTTGTCCGCGGCGGTCGCCGATGGAGATCAAATCATGGGCGTGATCCCAGCAACAGCTGTCCAACAGAACCAGGACTGTACTCCAATCTTTGTTCCAAACGTCCCCTCGTTATCCGATCTCTTTCAAGACGTGTCCAAGCGAGCCCGTCTCACACCGGAAGAAATCTCCATTGTTGAGGCCCACGGCACAGGTACTGCAGTAGGGGACCCTGCAGAATACGATAGTGTCCGTGCTGTCTTAGGGAGATCAATCCGAAAAAAACCGTTGATGCTCAGCTCCGTAAAGGGACTAGTAGGTCATGTGGAGTGTACCTCCGGCATCATCTCCATCATCAAAGTGCTACTGATGATTCAGAAGAGCATGATCCCACCCCAGGCCAGTTTCACCACCATCAATCCAGCTATCAAAGCGACGTCAACAGACAATATTGTCATCCCAACTAGCTTGCAGCAATGGAATGTTGGGTTCAAAGCTGCTCTCATCAACAATTATGGAGCCTCTGGTTCAAATGCGTCCCTCATCATCACCCAAGCCCCAGCCCAAGCGAGGAGAGCAATCGGAAGGACGGTGCATGACAGTATGAGGTATCCGTTTCGAATCACTGGCTTTGACGATTATAGCATACGACAGTACTCGAAGGGCCTTCGCGACTATTTGAATCGTGACCTCTCTGAGCCGAATCTGTCTGATATTGCCTTTAATTCCGCCCGTCAAAGCAACTGGCATCTTGATCGAACGCTGATGTTCAGTGTAAAGTCTATTGACGAATTGAACAAGGATCTTCAAGCATACGAGAATGGTAACTCCAACATCACGTCCGTTTCTCTTGCGAGTTCTCGCCCTGCGGTGCTATGCTTTGGTGGGCAAGTGTCTAAGTTCATCGGACTTGATCGGCTGGTGTATGAGCATGTTGCAGTGTTTCGAAAGCATCTCAAAACGGTTGATGCCGTGGCTCGGGCCATGGGTGTGGGTAGCATCTTCCCGGACATATTCAGCCGTGCTTCGATTGGTGACCCCGTCAAGTTGCAAGTAATGCTCTTTTCCTTGCAATATGCCTCAGCGCACAGCTGGATAGATTCTGGAATCCAGCCAGCGGCAGTCGTAGGCCATAGCTTCGGCGAGCTTACAGCTCTATGCGTGGCGGGTGCCTTATCGCTTGAAGACACCATGCGTATGATCGTGGCTCGTGCTACCATTGTTAGAGACTTTTGGGGTCCTGACAATGGTGCTATGGTTGCTGTGGAGGCCAATCTTCATGAAGTGGAAGCGCTACTTGTGGAGTCCAAGGCCTACTGTGCCGGTATCGAGTCAGCCACCATTGCTTGCTATAACGGGCCTCGGAGCTATACGCTGGCTGGTGCGACTCCGGCGGTGCAAGCAGTCATTGAGACACTTTCCTTGTCTGCCTTTTCGTCCATAAAACATAAGCGATTGAACGTGACAAACTCTTTCCACTGTTCTCTCCTCGATCCTCTTCTTGGGCGACTTGAGCAAAGTGCCCAAGAGTTCGTATTCAAAGATCCCATTATACATCTTGAGAGGGCCACGGAGTCAGCTGCCGGCGAGAAGCTTACCCCTCAGTTTGTTGCTCAACATATCCGCTCACCCGTATTCTTCCACCAAGCAATAAAGAGATTATCCTGCAAGTATCCATCCTGTGTCTTCCTGGAAGCTGGGTCCGCCTCAACCGTCACCAACATGGCTAGCCGAGCCCTCGGCAGTCCCGAAAGCTCGCACTTTCAATCTATCAACATCACTTGCGACAATGAGTGGAACAACTTGGTGGATGCAACACTGAGCCTGTGGAAGGCAGGCTTGGGTGTGCAATTCTGGGCTCACCAGTCGAGTCAAACAAAGGAGCACCCAATTCTCCTATTGCCGCCCTACCAGTTTGAGCGTTCAAAGCATTGGATTGAACTCAAGACGCCCCCAAGAATTACTTCGGAAGAAGACTTGAGACCAAAGATCATGGAGCAGGACCTACCAGAGAAGCTTTTCAAGTTCGTCGGGTACCAAGACAAGGCCGAGCGGCAAGCGAGATTCCGTATCAATACGCTGGCCGCCGAGTACGACAGACTCCTTCGTGGACACGTCATTGCTCAGACAGCGCCCATCTGCCCTGCCACTATTCAGCTTGATATAGTCATTGAAGCAGTACGCAGCATCAAGCCAGCTTTCTCATCATCCAAGCTAGAGCCCAGGCTGTACAACGTCGAGAACGCCTCGCCACTCTGCATCAACCGGGGGCAGGCGGTGTGGGTCGAGGCGGTTGCGGAAGGTAGCGCAGCAACAACTTGGAACTTTCAGGTTTTCAGCAATGACCTTCAGAACGAAGCCCCGCGCACAGTCCATACCACTGGTCAGATCGTCTTTCAGTCCGTCGACGATCTCGCACTGAAACTTGAAGTTGCGCGCTTGGAACGCCATTTCAGCCACGAACAATGTATTGAAATCCTGCGCAGTAACAATCCAGACGACGAAGTCCTGCAGAGTAGAAACATCTACAAGATCTTCGCCGAGATCGTGGACTACGGAGAGGAGTATCGTGGACTGCAGAAGCTTGTGAGCAAGGGAAACCAATCTGCAGGTCTAGTAGCCAAGAAGTATAATCCGGAATCATGGCTCGACGGGCATCTGGCCGACAGCTTCTGTCAGGTTGGAGGCATCTATGTCAACTGTATGGTTGACCGCACCATGTCAGATATGTATATCGCAAACGGTGTCGAGCAGTGGGTTCGCTCGCCGAGGCTTCACCAGCAAGATTCGCGGCCTGATTCGTACCATGTTCTGGCGACACATCATCGACCCTCACCCAAGGCGTTTCTAACAGATGTCTTTATATTCAATCCGACAAATGGTTCTTTGATTGAGGCCATCTTGGGTATCAGCTATGTTAGAGTACCGAAAGCTTCGATAAGCAGGTTACTATCGCGTCTTACCATGGGAGACTTCCAGAAGGTTGCGGAAGCTTCCACCTCTGAGCCTTTTCATGGTGATACCGATGCAGAGAAAAAGGTTTTAGCAGTTCCCCAAGCAAAGGTACAGAGAGCCAGTCCTTCAGCAAGCAACAAAGTGCAGGCACCAGGCAAATTAGAGACCGCACCAAAGGTGAAGACTATCCTTGCGGAACTCTCCGGTCTCGAGCTGAAGGAGATCAAAGATGACAGTAACCTCGCAGACTTAGGAATTGATTCTCTCATGGGAATGGAGTTGGCACATGAGATTGAAGCCGCATTCCAGATCACGATTCCGGAAAATGAGCTCATGGATGTCATCGACATTCCCAGCTTGATGAAGTGTGTGGAAACTGTGATAGGTGGCGGCGTTGTTACTGCAACGGAAAGCAGTGATCAAAGCACTTCTGAGAGTGAGGAAAGCGACACAAAGCCCAGCGGCTACACGACGCCGAGTACCGCATCCGAGGTGGCTGAGCCAGCAAAGTCTGTCCAGAACATCGGACTGAACCTTTCCTTTTGCTCTGTGATAGAGGCTTTCAATGAGGTCAAGAACAATACCGACGACCATATTGTTGAGTACAAGCAGGGCAATTACTTTGAGACGGTGCTGCCCCTTCAAGATCAAATGTGTGTGTCGCTCGTCCTCGAGGCGTTCGACAAGTTGGGACAGCACATTCGCAATGCCAATCCTGGTGACAAATTTGTCCGCATTGAACACGCAAGAGAACATGCCCGACTAGTTGACTACCTGTATAGAATGCTCGACGAAGGAGCAGGGCTTGTAAATACCGACGGCGATTGCATCACTCGCACGGCAGTCCTCCCTCCTTTCTCGAGCAGTGAGATCCTCGCAGAACTTGTTACTCGCTTCCCTGACCAGAGTATGGCTGATAAACTCACCTTCTACACTGGATCTCAGCTGGCCGATGTCCTCAGAGGCCAGACAGATGGGATCAAGTTGATCTTCGGAACTCCAAAAGGGCGTGACCTCGTCTCCAACATGTATGCGGAATGGCCGCTCAATAGGCTATTCTACCTACAAATGGAGGAATTCATTAGCCGGCTCGTTTCTAAAGTCGACATGACTCAGGGCGCCATCAAGATCTTGGAGATGGGGGCTGGTACAGGAGGAACGACTAGATGGCTCGTTCCTCTGCTCGCGGAGTTGAACATTCCAGTCGAGTACACCTTCACAGATCTCGCTCCGTCCTTTGTCGCTGCCGCTCGCAAGAGATTTGGCAAGCAGTATCCCTTCATGAAATTCAGGACACATGATATTGAAAAGGCTCCGGCCGACGATCTTCTCGGCACGCAACACATCATCATCGCCAGTAACGCTGTGCATGCCACGCACAGTCTCAGGGTGTCTGCAAGTAATATCCGCAAGGCCCTACGATCTGACGGTCTCCTTATGATGCTCGAAATGACAAGTACCATGTATTGGGTCGATATCACATTCGGGCTGTTTGAGGGCTGGTGGTATTTTGACGATGAACGCACACATGCTGTGACGCACGAGTCGCTGTGGGAAACTGAGCTGCACTCGGCTGGATACGGACACGTCGACTGGACTGATGGTGCGCGGCCAGAGAACAGACTGGAGAAGCTGATTATTGCCTTTGCTTCAGGCGGGAGGTATGAGCGACTCCCACAGTCACATCCAATCGAGAGCCTATCGACTGACTGTGCGGCGCGACAAACAGTTATTGACAGATACCTGCGTAAGATGACGGCCGGATGGGAGGCTCCTTCGGTGAAGGTCGGACCCACAAATAGGGATAGAAAATGTATTGTTCTCACAGGGGCAACAGGGAGCTTGGGAAGCCATGTGGTCCAAAAGCTTGCCTCCAGTCCTGGTGTGACGAACATCATCTGTCTGAATCGACGGAGTCGGCTCGACGCTGATCAACGACAGCTTCAATCTCTGAGCCAGAAAGGCATCTGGCTTCCTGACGATGCGATCGACAAACTCACCATCATGGATGCTGATCTTGCAAGACCGCAACTCGGGCTGTCGAGTCCACAGTACGAATCCCTTGTTTCAACGACCACGCACATTATTCACAACGCCTGGCTCATGAATGCGAAATGGCCGTTAGATCGATTCGAGTCCCAGCTTTGTATCATGCGCAATCTGTTAGACTTTGCGTCCGCTGTTGTGGGCCATGGCTGTAACATAGTCACGTTTCAGTTAATCTCCTCCATTGCCACAGTCGGTCATTATCCTCTGCATACAGGAAGACCTCGGGTTCCGGAAGTGATGATGGGAATCGAATCTGTTCTCCCCACTGGGTACGGAGACGCAAAGTACATTTGCGAGTTGATGCTTGAGTCGACGCTAAGGCTTCACCCAGACAAATTCCATGCCATGACGGTGCGTCCAGGGCAAATCGCAGGCTCCAGTGAGAGCGGATACTGGAACCCCCGTGAGCATTTCTCCTTCGTGATCAAATCATCACAGACACTCGGCGCCCTCCCTCGCTTCGAAGGCCTTCTGTCATGGACGCCCGTCGATTTCGTAGCCGGTACAACCGTCGACTTGCTTTTCCGCGACGACCAACCGTATCCGGTCTACCATATCGAGAACCCGATCCGCCAGAGGTGGGAAGATATGATGCCTGTGCTTGCAGATGAGCTGCACCTACCACAGACAAACATGATTCCATTCTCAGAGTGGGTGCAGCGCGTTCGGGAGTATAGTCGACATGCAGGGTCAGAGCGGGAGACCGCCATCATGTTGGTTGATTTCTTGGATGAGAACTTTCTGCGCATGTCTTGCGGTGGGCTCTTGTTGGAGACGAGGAGATGTCGCGAGCATTCGAAGACTCTGGCAGATATGGGCCCGGTTAGTGAGGATGTGACAAGGTTGTATATCAAGAACTGGAGGGCGATGAAGTTTTTGAATTGATCTTTGTGTTCTTCATGTCGAGATCAGTCCTCTCCCTTGGAGTTGAAGATGAATAGACAGACTGAAAGTGAATGAAGGTTGCTGGTCGTTGATGAAGCTCACTTCCTGGGGGGGGGAATCTCTAGACAGACACAGACAGAAAACAGAAATGCATCATATGAGTACTCGTATCTTGTCATTGTGGAGGATCCGATAATCCCCAGAATCGCGAGCAAATGCCCACACCACTCCTGCAGGCCAGGATCTCGCCTCCCAGCGGTGTCCGTGGTGTCAGAAGACTCAACAAACAAGGTGCCGCCATGGTGGATCAATCATCGCGGACTCCCACAAAAACCAACTGGGTGCCGCGTTCCGTAGGCGGGGTATGCCATCTATGCCTAGCAGTTCAATACTGTCCACTCATCTGATCTCATTCTAGATATCTACGGAGTCTTAGATACACCACAAACTATTGAGTGAGAAGACCCAAATCCAGGATTCAAACAGAGCGGCATCTCGCGTGTGTGCCCTGTTCCTCATGCCTAGAGCCTTGCAAATCATCGGACGAGGCCCTGAGAGAAGCAGCCAACTTTAAAGCCATCTCCTTCAATGCTTTCTTCGCCTCGACGGCCTGCTTGTCTAGTTCATCGATATGCGCTGTCGTAACGTCCCCTATTACCTCTGAACCATCATTGGTTACAGTTTGTATCTCGCATATACTGTCCTGGACCACCTCGCCTAACTCGCACACTTTTATTTTGTGTTCGTCAGCAATCTCCTCGCGAAAATGGTCGACAAGACCAGGCAGTTCTGATCTGATGCTGTCTTGAACGATATCATCAAGTTCTGATTTGATGCTATCGCGTACAATATCCTGCTGTAATTTGAGACTGTTGTGGATTTCCTCATCGATATATCTTTTGATGCAAGGATCGATCAGATGGACGCCAGGAGGGCCAGATACCCCGGACTTTGATGGTAGGGCACCGTCTACATCCCCTGACAAGCCCAGTAGACGATGGTGTCCGGAGCGAATCAATAGCTCGCGAACCCGATCTTCGGGAAGTCGGCTAAGCTTCTGCTCAAGATATCTAAGTGAAAGATGATCCGCGTCATCGGATGACGAAGCATGTATAAAGTGGGTTGGACGGATCGAGTTTGAGGATGGTGACGGAGAGCAAGTACTTGGGGTATTGACTTCGGTAGGTGCTCCAAGCCAGTCTGGTTGTGTAAGAAGCGGCCTTTTGCAACATTCTTCGGGTGACAGAGACCACCCTAGAGACCATCAACAGGCTATGAAAGCTGAAATCTCCTGTAACTGTGGAGATGGGACATACCTCTGACCCGTTTGCCAATGGCCGGATTCAATTCGGGTTGGTCATTGTATTGGGGTGGACCCGCTTGCTCAGCCGGTGTTGATACATGTTCCTCATCATATGGCGGTGGAGAGAGCTTGAATATACTCGGATCTCTCTCGACTACACCATGTCGATGATGGTCGAAAGACTCTGGCTGGAGGGTTTGTATTCTAGAGCAAAATTTCCTCAACGTCTCAAATTCTCCCCCCTGAAATTGTACCAGGGCAAAGTGTAGGCGTAGCGATTTTGATTGGCAAATATGGGCGAATGAAATGAAATTTGAGTCTTCTGGATCGGAAGAACTCAGAGACTTTGCCCAGGATGGACAAAGAACAACCCCAGGCCTAGCTAAATGTATACTGAGCGTTGAAACATCCGTAGCACCGCTTATAGTTTGTCGTATTTTCGAGGACAATTCCGATGGGCACAGGTTAGGGTTGCTTCTCTTAACTAGCGAAGAGTTCTGGACCGCTTTGGGGCAGATATTCAATGTTAGTGAATCCGATCTGTCAGTGGAGTTAGCAAGGGCTGCCTTGATACTAAGAGAGATAGATCCTCGCTCGGGGTCGTTGGAGTAGGCAATGCGACACCTGGCATCGCAAGAATGTTCCGTGCCCGGCACAGAAACGACAACTTTCTTGGACAAAGCCCAGTGCGACTCTTGCGATACAGGCGACATTGGATAACTCTAAAGTTCCTTAGGTTTTAGAGATTCCCTCGAATGATCGAGTAGCCCTCCCACCCGGGCTTTGAATAAGCGATGAGCAGCCCTGGCTCCGGCGAATGAGAGATCAGGGATAGAAGTGAGAGGACAACAGTAAAGAGACCGACCGAAAGCTCCTGCGGCCTGGCCACAAGCACATGCTCACTCCAGGGAAGAAGTTGGAGAGTCCTATGAAAACACAGGAATGGCACGCCAAGCAGCGAGAACGGCAAGAAGAAATGATTCCTTGATTGACGAACGACAACAAAGGTATCAAAAGCTCTTGCGGCCTAGCCACACGTACGTACCCAATCCAAGATCCAAACCTGGAGTCCTATGAGAACACAGGAACGGCAGGACCAGCGGCGAGAACGGCAAAGAGCGAATCGTCAAGTCCCTATACGTGATCAGGATGATGGAGTTGATATCGCACCGAACGAAGGTGAAGCATGAGATATCTCAGGGGAAAGGGGGGGGGGGGAAGGGAGTGAGGAGATTGTTGGGGGCGGGGAGGTGGTTCTGGGGAGAGGAACGATACAGAACTCAAGGGACGGGAAAGGAGGCTCTGCCCACGTGATCTTGACAGGTGACCTCATTTTCCGTGGCAGGTCGAGCACAGACTCCCTGGGTCAGATGACCAGACCACTATTGCGATTAACTTACTTTGTACTTTGGGCTAGTTTCTTCCAACATTTTCTGACGGTCATACTCTGCCGTTCATATAATATCTCTTGGTAGCTTATGGGAAAATAGAGAGAAGGAGGCAGCGGCAGCAAGAGAGATGTGCAGTGGCACTATTAACATCATTATTACTTCTCTATGTCCTCTATGTCGACTCGATAAATCAATATCAAAACATACTATGCTCAATCCTTTCCCTCTTTATGCTGGTGTCTAGGATAGCATTGGCACTCGGAATGGAAGATAAAAACCATGAACGGTCGCTTTTCCTTGGGAAACCAAAAAGCAAGCATCTATAGTACAGTCTATATATTAGGTATTATGTCAGTGGTGCCGTATAGAAGCGATATAGCCTCCTTGGGCAAAATGATGCAACGCGAGCACTAGAGGTAACAACCAGTCAGTGAGAATAAAAGGTAGAAAGAGAGAAGAATAAGGAAAACTCACAGAAGAGCATGATCAGCGCCAGCGCTGGAAGTACCCACGGCGATTGGCCGACTGCCTGGCTCTTTCCGGTGATGTTCATGAGACTGAGCAGCGCCAGACCCAGCCCCACGAGCGCGATGGTCCCCGTGCTGACGCGGCGCAAGCGGAAATGATGAGGATCGCGGGGAAGCGACAGGATTGCGAAGACCGTGATGAAGATCAGGAAGAGGCCCGTGCAGATGCAGAAGTATCCTGGAGGTGAGTGAAGATGTCAGTCGGTACTTGAACCTCTCAGGTCGATCGACACGAAGGATCGGAATGATGTGACAAGTCTAAAGAGAGACAAAGATGACGGAGGACGATGTACATACCAAAAGTAAGATCATAGACCTTCATGACCGCGTCGATCTCCTCCTGGAACGTGAGGTTCGCCTTGGCCGCCACTTCCTTGGGGATCTTCCACCCGAAGTTGTGCACGATGATGGTCACCGTCTCCATGATGGCCGGCCACGCCTTCTCGATGAACTCCGTCCCCGTTGCGTTGGAGGGCAGCGCGATGGTCGCGTTGTAGGCGCTTTCGATGGTGTGAAACTGATCCATGTAGGTGGTGAAGCGGTTCAGGGCGTCGTCCAACGCCTCCCCGAGCATGTCCCTGAGTTCGTCGACCGGGGCATTGCTGTTGATCCCGCTCATCAAGGGATTGAAAAGCTGGCTGATCCCGGCCCAGAGGTGTGCCCAGATGAAGATTTGGTTGATCCCTTCCATCATGAGGCAGAGGCAGACGTGGAAGGAGAAGTGGAGCATGGCCCACAGGTGCTGGCCGATCGGACCCAGTGCCTCGACGCTGCTGATGTTGTCGAAGTACAGTTGGTAAGTCAGGTACTGTGATAGAGAGGAAGTCCTGGTTAGAAATCTTTCTTTCTAGCTTGACAAGGGGCAGGTACTCTTACAATAATTAGCACGGATGATATGAGAATTCCAATGTCCTGGGGGAAAAACCGCTGGTCCAGCTTCCCGATCATGCTGACAACCTTGGTCAGAAGAATGATACCCTCGCCCAGCTATCAAAAAGTGGTTTAGTATCTTAGATGAATACGCCTGGAGAATTATACATACGATAATCAAAGTCAAGCAGGTCATTCTCTCCACGAGATGGGTCTTCTCAAGCGAGAGCGCCGGCCAAACCGCGGCCACGACCACGTTGATCCCCACCTCGGTCACGGAAACGCAATACCACGCGATATAGGCATCCCATCTGATGCGCAACTGGAACACAAACGATATACCAAAGTAAACAGCTGCAGCGGCCAGCAGCGAGACCAAAGTGATCAACAATGGCGCGCGAGTCTTGCGGTAATGCCATGTGAAGTAGAGCGTCGTGCCGTACTGGCATGCGAGTACCAAGCGGCTCACCATGAGGATCAGCGACAGCTGCTGCATTGGGCCCCAGGCGTCCTGCCTCAGGAAGTTGGGGCCGATGACGGCCAGCCCCATCATCACGCCGAAATGGCACGCGTGGGCCACACGCTCGAAGATGCTGTCCGTGGCAAACCGGACGTCGTACAGACTGACCTGGCACCAGGTGAACCACAAGATACTGATGAAGCCGACATAGGATGCCAGCACTGGACATATATTTAGCAAGTCCATTCCGCGAAGACTGATATTGTTCAGGGGAGGAGTCGGCCACATACTCTTACTGCTGTTCACATCGTGGGCAGTCACAAAGGAGGTCAAATTGGCCACGAAAAACAAGTCGAAAAACAACTGGATGTTGGAGGTAGCCTCATAGTGTTCGAACTGAGGGTCCTCAAACAAGGTCTCATCGTGTGTGGCCAGACCGAGCTCACCATCAGACGTTGAACTATGCCGCGTGCTGCTCTTGGACTTGAACGGGTGCTGTTAGTCTTTGAGTCTTGCGGTTCGTGAGATTAAGACGTACCAAAGGGCTTGTCACAAAAGGGATTCGGCCCATTTTGTATGACAGGAGAGAGAAGCTCTCAGAATGTAGGTGGAAAACTGCTGTGGACGCCTGGGAATCTTGTCCCTGATCTTCCTCTTCCTCTTCATCGTTGTATATCACAAAGCATGGTTTAGCTTGTCGAGCGAGATCTATGGTCTAGCTCCTTTGTCGGCCTTATATATGTTGGATGTAGTTACAGATCGCGTTTGGACAAGCCGCAGGAAGAAAAGCAATTCCATCTTGCCATGAGGCATTTCAGTTGTGCACCAGGATGATAGCGAACGGTTTCAGGAGAGAGTATGCTGTGTTTGGGGTGAACCTCGTGTTGTCGCATGGCTTCGAAGATCGTGCTGACTGCATATAACTATTCCTGCACCTGGATTTGCATTGAGTCATTGGCCACATCAAGATCTTGGGGCTGTTAACCGCGTCTGTCATACCGAAAGCCGCTCAGCCTTATCGGTGTTGAGGTTGCACAAGATTTCAGGCGGTGGAGGCTGGATCTCGTTGGCTTCTATATCGGGAAAAGCTGCGGATAAAATCCCAGACTTTAGATAAAGATAGGCATCCAGGTTGCAACATCACCAAGTCTCATACTACAGCTTCATGCGACAGAATGTTCACTCTCGCTGCAAAGATGCGCATGGTGATGTGCTCTGGATGCAGGGCGCTAGGATTATCGTGGTCTGTCAATACGGTCTTTTGTTAGTTCATGAGATATAGCCAACTGATAAGTTAGCACGTACAGGAAAAGAAAAGCCCCACTCAGCTGCTGCAACTCAAGGACAGTCGACAACCGTTCTAGATTCTCCAAATGATGCACCGGATATGAGACCTGAGATGAGACCCGAGATGGGAGGCCGGGACAATCCATGCCGTGCCGACCAGTTGGGCCGTCACTTCATCCAAAACTCATTCAATCCACTAGAATGCTTCCTTCACCTTTCGGTTCTCACCAACGTTGGGATCAGTCACACTCAGCTGGCGACTCCAGGACAGTTGAGGACCGTTCTGGATTCTGCAAACGATTTACCTGAGGGGAGAGACCAGGACAACCCATGCTGTGCCGACTAATCGGACCGGCACGCTATTCAAGATTCAGTCGATCCACTCGAATGCTTGCTTCACCTTTCAGTTCTCACCAACGTTGGAGTCAGTCACACCCAGCTGCAGCAACTCAAAGACAGTCGAGAACGGCTCTGTATTCGCCAAAGGATCCACCCGAGCTGGGGAGACCAGGACCATCCATGACGTGCCGACTAATCGGACCGTCGCTTCATGCAGCAATTCGCTCGATCTACCAAATGGCTTCATCTTTCAGGTCCCACCAACGTTGGATCGTTCCAGCCTGGTGTTGGTGGTTTCGTGTTCGATTGCTCTCTCCGACGGCGAGGATGCAGTGACTGATAGAGAGAAAGAAGAGTGGTAATTGCTTGTACTGTACTGTTCACCAAAGGCCAGGAGACGCGAGAGAGGTTAATTGACAACTGACGGCTTGAATACTGTTCGTGGCTGGTCATCTCTCACAAGATGCTACTGGAACCTACAGAGCGTCTGAACCGGGAATCTCCAGCTCGGGCAGGTTGCAACATCTGGAGGCAATCACATCGTCCCATTGTGGGTCGCAATGCACATTCTGTAGGAGAATATGAATGATGACTAGGGTAAATCTTGAACAAAGAGCGTTCCACTAGAAGCAAAATCTGGGTTATCATTTGTGGTAGCAGCGCTATGAGAGAACTACAGAATACCCCTTCCTTCATGGCTCGATGAAACCTGGCCTAAATCAAATCAAAATGTGGGGGATGGAGCGATACCGGGCTAACAGAACACACGGGGAGTATGAGAGATAGTTGCGACGAGGTAATGGATAGTAAGGCGATGTGAATGTGATGGCGGCACCAGCTTTATGCAATGTAAGCAATCTCGTCCCCATCCAATCGCTCGATATAATCCTTCTCCATCAGAGCCTCGATATTCTTCTTGATGTCGGGGACCTTGGGAGGGAAGCGAGATTTGACTTGTTGGATCACTTCTTGAACCAATTGTACGTGCTTCATCTTCTTGCGGGACTTCATGATACGGACAATCGCAGACTAGAACAGCATTAGGCGGGGTACAAATTCAGGGGGTAGGACGAGGAACGTACCTGAAGTAAGAGCTTGCGATCCTCCTCAATTGTCTTGTGTGTGTCATCCGACTCGACCTTCTGCTCCGACTTGATTTGAATGTTGAGGTTAACCTTGATCTTCTTGTTCTTGAAATTGTAGTTCAGAGTGAAAGACGTTCCAGGCTCCGGCTTGGATCCTTCGGAATTGATAGTCAGAACTTTAGCCTTGAGGAAAATGCTGAGGTTGGGATCAAGAATTTCAGGCGAAAGGGAAGTGGCTTTTTGAATATCCTCGTAGCTTAAGGTATCGTGCTCATTGAAGAGTAGAAGTATGCCCATTTGGAATGTGGATACCTGGAACGTGTAGGGTACTTTGGTGTTCTTGATGTAGTTGGCCTTGATTTCACCCTTGCATAGCTGCCAAAGCCATGTCAGCTTTCTGCCACTGTGCTTGTCAAAGTAGAAGCTCTGGAATCGTTCAGATGTCTTGACGATTTCGGGTGGTGCAAGGAAATCGGTGGTAGGCGCATTGAGAGGCCAGAATCCGGTTCCGAGGATCTGGAAATGAGAGTCGACCAGCTTCCGCCGATCATCTTCATCGAGTACCTTCTCTTGCCAGTCCCGGTAGCTGGCGTTCAGGTCCTTCGAGATCTGAATGTCTTGGAACATGCGCTGCAGCTTGTTCGTGTATTCAAAACCGCACGCCTCCTTGAGCTTGCTGATCATGCTGGTTTCTGCATCGTCGGACACGGAGCTGACATGTACCAGACGTTTAGCGAGCATCTTGGAGTAGAACTTCTGGAAAACATCCTTGTCCTCGATGTACTTGAAGACAGTCATAATTTGCACCAACATCTCTTCCAACTCAGACTCCTCTGCAGCTTTGGAACCCTTCTTCAATAACGAATCGGTATAGCGCGCGAGCAACTCGGGGGTCTTTGTCGATCCGGACCTGCAAATCTTGTTGCGGTTGACAAACTCGCGGCAGGCATTATCCAGAGAACGGACAAACTCGGACTCACCGTTGAATGCCTCGCTGACCAAGCTTTGATACCTGGTATGTACCTGTAACAATGCGTCCACGTACATCTTAGGCTCGAACGATGTCTCTCCGTCGGCGGCCACCTTCTCAACGGCGGCCAAGCCAGCCTTCCTCACATGAGCTTCAAACTTAGTCCGGAGAGGATCCAGACCCTCTTTGATGCGAGACAGAAGTCTATACATCCGAGCCAAATCATCTTGACGCTCGTTGTCCAGCAGAACCTGGAATTCATCTCGGAGGAGTTCAGAGTGAGCCGTGACCAGCACATCCAGACAAGTGTCGGTCAGATGTTTCGAAATGTCCGGGTGCAAGTACAAGCCGACACGAGCCTTTTCTTCCTCCAGACGGGCTTCTGCTTTCTTCATGTACTCGACCACGCTGTTCTCGGTAACAAATTGCCGCGACTCGTTTTCGTAGTAAACTCTGGTGGCGGAGATAAATGGCTTCTCGAAGTGGTAGCGGTAAACCTCGAGCGTTGACCTGGTGCTGTCAGTCTCGTCAAGGCCCAGGGAAACGAACGAGTCGACGATGCTCTTGATCTGTGACTGCTCAATAGTCTCGCCGTTACGCTGCTTTTCGACCAGGTTCAGTACAGCCTCCATAACCTTCTCATGAACCTTCATGAAGAAGTCGTCCTTCCATTTCACCAGGTGCAGCGTGTAAACATCGTAGACATTCTTCTTTCCCTCGTCGATCTCGCGTTTGACCCAGTGTCTGTTTAGGTAACGGAAGAGATGGTTGATGTACTTGGCGGCAGTGGTGTAGCGAAGCCATTCGCGAATATAGAACCCCAACAACGCCTCCTCCGCATGGCTCTCGGATTCTCTATACACAGCGTCCAAGTGACGTGAGAGGTATTCACCTAGTAGTTTGTAGAGTTCCTCCCCGAGGAGATGGGCTGCAGCGGTGATGTCAATATACGTTGTAGCGCTGACCCACGTAAATCTTGGCCGGGGGGTAGAAGGGACAAAAAGACTGACCGCCGCGATGAGCTTGTAAACCGCTGCCGCTGCCAACGGCTTTCTGTGATGTGCAAAAGTTGTGGACCGCTCTAGATTCAAACCCGTGAGTATTCTTGGTGGAGTGAACGCCTTGAGGTCAAACCATACGTGTAAAGGGCCATGTACTAAGCCCGCGTGAAGAGAGGTCAGCGGCGCGACAAGTAACGAAGACCAGTCCAACAGGAAAAGAGTGTCGAGTAACATACAGTTTTCATGTCAACTCCTTCCTCTAGTTTGAGCATCACACTGTCGATGCCCTTCTCCAAGAACGTCCATCTACCTGAGTCAGCCGGTGGCCCGGAAGCAGTCGCCTCGACAGCCGACCTTGCGGATAAGAAACTGGACCTGGGAAAACTAACGTCTCATCGAGATCATCCTTGTGGGGTGTTTGAGGGAAAAAAGCCGGCATCTTGTGTTTGACCGCCCAGGTTCGAGCCTTGAGCGCGGGTCTGTGGAAGATGCGTGTGAACATTAGCCTGGTAGGACTAATATAGCCTCATAGAAAGCTTCCGGGGGGCGACGGAAACATGCTGCTGCAGGAGACCGCAACATGAAGAAAGGAAACTGCCGTGTAACAAGCAAAGATGCCCATGAGATCAGGTATACGTGAGCCTTACCAAACGTTGCAAGCGATAAGGACAGTGGATGACCTCACTCAGCGGTGGGCGGTTAAGGCAGCGGTGACGGAGACGGCGAGACGAATAATGGCTCTCCTAGTTGATCTGAGAGGAGAAAGAATATCTAGAAAAATATGATAGGTTGGGGGAGACAAAGAAGTAAGACCACAACCTGCAAGTCCCTAGAGTCAAAGAAATGGGGGGGAGTAAACGAGACGCGCCTCAAGCTGGAGGAGAGATCGGGGATGGAGAAGCAAGCCAGAAAAGGCGTGGCGTTGGGCGATGAGTGCCGTGGGGGGGGGGGGGGGGAGAGGCCCGGGAGAAGGTCCGGTTCCGGTAAGCGGTCAGGCAGCTCTATCGAAATATCTCCCTGGCGATCTACTGGCTGACTAGAAGTGAATCTTGAGCCCGCGGCAACTATGCCCACTGCCTGATCGAGTGAACTGACTTCTTGAAAAAACTGTCAGGAAGATGACCAGGAAGATCGATTCTCTACTGTTGAAAAATTCCTCATTTGTTCATGCGGCTACTTTACTCTGACGGAAACCCACATCAGGCACCCCGACATGGCATGCTTGCCTAGGGTGGGACGTGGAACCCCATCCGAATGAGTTGGCTGCATTGTAGCATGCCTAAATTTTAAGCTCTCTGGGCAGTGTTGTTCATGAACGCCATGCTCAAACGCCTCTGCCCTTCCGAGACAGGACAATGACCATTGTTGTCGCAGGCGAACATGTTTGCTACTGAGTTTTGGTAGTATCAGGAGAGACTGCCACTTCGTGCGCTACAAATGACGTCATGTCTAGCTCAAATTGAATGCCGGTCGCCCTTTTTAATCAGGAAGACACCCTCCGCACCAGCCAAACTCGCGCATCTCTTATCGCGTGCCCACACCAGAAGTCCGGCGCAATCATGTCATTTAAGCCGCTTACTGACGTCCAAGTGACCTACCGCCAGATCCCTCGGTGGCAGGGTCTCCCGAATACATCCATACAGTCAAAGGCACTCATGATCTACCACAAAGCATTCGACGCGTCGGCTAGCGACCTTGCAGCACATTTCGAGGATGTGGGCGAGGTTACGTCGCAGTGGGTCTATTCTATGTATCGCCAAACGCACTTCCACAGCACCACCCACGAGGTTTTAGGGGTGGTTTCCGGCCGTGCACGCCTTTGTTTTGGTGGAGAAGACAATCCCGAGCGCTTTGAACCAACCGTCGAACGAGGGGACCTGATCATAGTACCCGCCGGTGTGGGCCATCGACTCCTGGACGAGCTGGGCACAGACGAAGGACCTTTCAAGATGGTCGGTGCCTATCCGCCTCAAAAACAGTGGGATATATGCTACGGCGAACAATCCGAGGCAGACAGGGTTACGAAGAATATTCAGCGATTGGATTGGTTCCATGGAGATCCCTTATACGGCAAAGATGGACCGGTTTTGCACGTGTAGTCTGAACCCAGCGTGAGCACGTGGCTAAGCAGTATATGTACATCTACCATTGACGAGTAAATCGGCCGTAATGCATATATTATCGGTATCAAAGCCAGGGCCTTCGCACAGCATGCCACATATAAACGCCTCGCCTAACCCAATTGACAGATGACCAAACCAGGGGAAACAACACCAACAGGGAAAGAATAGAATGTTATCAGGTAAAAACATGGGCATGGAAAGCAGCGATCCGAAGTAGACAAGAAGAAAGGAAGAAAAGGTGGGTATAGGTGAATAATGGAGAAAGAAAGGTAAGGAAAGTTGCTAGGAGAACCAAACCCCCTGCCAAGTGCTTCAAGAAGCCACACGTTCGACAAGTCTATCAGGAAGATTAGAATAATTAGCATTCGAAGAAAAACGTTATGGGGGTGGAAGCTGGCCTACCTGAGCACACTGATCGCAAATGTTGTAAGCCAGGCCAGAAGCGCAATCAAGAGAACACAGGCGAGAGCTATTTGTCGGTCGCATATTGCGTCATTCTTTGGTGTGATCTCTTGATTGACTTCATTCAACGTGCATGCACCCTGAACAGTGGACAAGGATTCGAATGCTAAACTTAGATTGGCCGAGTCGAAAACAATAAAGAAGATATCCAACAGGATCAGCCGTGCTTTGGCGGATGCAGACCGGAGGCCCAGCGGCTTCGAGGTATATTCGTCAAAGGTGATATAGATCAGATATACGAGAGCCACCGCGTCAACAATGATGGCCATAAGCGCGGATGGGCCCTGTGGATGTTTGTATTGACCCGATAGATGCTGGATCGAGCCCCCTAGTGCCAGGGCAGTAAGCGAGAAGCACCATACGGTAAGTCTGAAGATAAGAGGAACCATAGGACTCCTGAGAAGAGTATTATGGAAGCGCTTGAACCAGATCTGCCGGCGTCGCTTCATCCTCAGCGGGTCCTCGGTATCCTCATCTGGAGCGAGTTGTCCTCGCCACGGCTGCGAGAAATCGCCAAGGTTCTCGTTCAACCATTCTGGGGTTACAGACTTCTCTTCCACGCCCGGCTCACGAGGATATGCGATCACCTTCGAGAAGTTCTTCCAGCGAGACTCGCGTCGGGAAGGGCCCCCTTGCTCTTCATCATCCTCATCGTCGGCTCGGCTCGGGCGGTTCGGTCTTGTCGCATAAGGGGAGTGATTGTGCTGCGCCACAACGGCGTCGTCGGGTTGCGAGGGAAGAAGGCTAGCCGTGGCAGGAACGTCGTTATCTTCAGGATATTCTACCGAGCGGATCCAGGCTACAAGAGACGAAGGTGCAAAGTCAGCAAGGACTGCATTAAAGGAGGCGAGTAGAAGGATCCATGCTCAAGTTACCTGGCAATGTTCTTGGTTTCCTTCCCATTATTGGACCAAATTCAGTGTCTCCCACCACAGTACTCTCTAGTGAGCGCGAAGTCCCCGCAGACTGGTCTACCATATCCTCATTGTGACCGAGGTCATGGTCGCTGTTCACTGCGCCAACGGAAGGGTTGGACTGCGCCGACATCCATTCCGTGGTGGAAGGTTGTTCCGACAGCTGTTCGTCCGGAACCGAGCCTGAATCTGGTGGCTGCAAAAAGTAGCTGTCGCGCACATCGTGGGCCATTGCCTTAAATTTCAGCGACTGTCCCAGGCAAAGTTGCGTCGGATTGTCGGAAGCAGGGGGAAGACGGCGGGTCCAGTCTGCATCGCCCCAATGTTCCTCGGAACTCTTAGCGGGCACAGCGCCTTAGCTCTGCAATTGGAACACCCGTTTCTCGCTAATAGAATAAAAACATCCGCTGAGAAAGAATATAGACAACACCCACCGTGTGATGTATGTAAGAGGAGGTGGGTGGTGGAGAGAAAGAAGCGCTCGCCCTGGGGAGGGGGAGGTGAGAGGGGGCTGGTTCGGCAAAGGAACCATGAATCGGAGCGCTCCAGTTTTTAGTGCCCGAGACCTCGTGAATAACTAGATTTTAGTGATGGTTCCTGCTCGTAACTACTCCGTACTGTAATAGTCTCGCCGGGAGCGGAATGACGTCGGCCCTGCACCTGCTCCAGTAACGAGCGTCGCGGGCGGCGGAGGCGGAGGCGGATTCAACCATCACGACCATGACCATCACCAGGACCATTTGCGGTGGCCAACAATCAGCTCCCCCCCCATTACTAGCAATCCCACCAATTCCCAACACTGCCTCTCTCCCATAAATAATCCTCTCGGTGAACTCATTGAGGTATGCGACTGTCACCCACTGCATCTCATCGGCCATTTCCTTTCAGCCATCGATAGTCAAGCTCCCTGTCAGCTCACTACAAAAACACGAAGCAATCCTTTGTACGCTTCCCAGCGTTTGCTCGTTTTTCGGACACGTCAATCGCAAATCACACAACGCCTGCAAAAATACAGTCATTGCTATGCGAATCTTCATTGTTCCCATATCGACGCGACGAGCTCTTATCTACGCTCGGCCCGTCGGCCAAGAATTGTCCAAGGAGCGCACAATTGTTGACAAAATCACCAACAAGGCGGCAGAGACATGGGCTAAGTGGGAGGAGGCGGATAAAGGCTGGAAGAAACACCTGGTCTCCTGGGGCAATCGGGTGCAACAACGAATTCCCTATCAAGAATGGGGTCTCAAGAGTATCCCCTCGCTGAGCTCTCAGCAGCGCATTGACAAGACCTACGGGACCAAGAAAGTGGATGTACTCTTCCCCGGCAATGCAATCCGATCGGAGAAGCTTCACTCACTCTTACAAGCCATCGCGACCGAGAGGCAAGACTTGCATCGCAAACGGATGTGGTGGAGCTTCCTTGCGACACCTCTCACAATCCCGGTTGGACTCCTTCCGGTGTATGTATCCCTCTACCCTTTCAGAGTTGTATTGGTTCTGGGCTAATGATCTTACATACAGCATACCTAATATTCCGTTCTTCTACCTGGTGTACCGCGGATGGTCGCATTGGCGAGGTCGGCTTCCCCCCATCCCTGCAGACGCCACAAAGTATAAGCTAATCAGCCTCTAGCCCTCAATGGATCCAAGCATCTAGAGTTCCTCCTGGAGAAAGACCTCCTGAACCCCATATCCTACCCTGCGCTAGAGAAGCTCTACGCTAAACGAGTTTCGTATGCACTGGAGAGCACGGAGGTGGACAAGCCCCATTCTGAGATGGTGGAGGACGTGGAGAGGAGTGACGATAAATTATTACTCCGCATGAGCGATGCGAAGAAACTGGCAACAATTCTCGACGCACCGGACCTGGCTCTGGAAGCAGAACGGGCTATCGTGCAGGTGCAGGAACAATTAAGCTCGCATGATCAAGGAGATAAGGACCAGAGTCCTCCCAAGGAAAAGGATGCATGAGTTGGGGGGGGGGGAGGCCTATCGTGGAGAGAAGGGATTCTGATATCTAAAAGGTGCTCGAGGGTGTTTCCTGGTTGTTATGGTTCGGAGCTTTGAATTGGGGCTCTTGTATGTTCACCTCTCTTGTATGGAGTCATGATTCGGGTACAAGTACATAAACATTATAGAGCATGAGCAATGTATTTGAGAATTGAATGAGCTGATAACGTTACTGTCCAGTGAACCAACTACATCTACATCTACATCTACATCTACTGTACTGTATGTACTTCTATGCTCCGAACGGAACTAACTTGTTCCGGGTCAACCCCCATGGTTCAAGCCACTGCGGGACACCCGACTTGGAGAAACGACCAAACATCCATCATCCAACTTAACTCACTCACTCCCTTTCTCTCATTCACGTCATTCTCTTGTCGCTTGCTTGCCTGCTTGCGTCTTACATTCATTCTTACTCACCAATCCCCTGAGTACATACTCCTTCAGTTACCATGTCAAATAAGAAGATTGAGCAATGGGAAATCGAACGATATTGGGAGATCTTCGCATCGCTTGCAGGCGGCCAGCCGCGCCTAAACAACTCTCAGGCCGCCTCCGTATTGAGGAACAGCCGGCTTCGCGATGACCAACTCGAGAAGGTTTGGGATCTGGCTGATGTCGACGGAGATGGCGAGCTGGACTTTGAAGAGTTCTGTGTTGCCATGCGATTGGTCTTTGACCTTGTAAACGGGGTATGTGAGCTCACTGTTGCTGCGGTGGCTTTCCCCGTATGGGGGAGACCCCCCTCCCCGAGGGCCGCCGGCCGCATACACTTCACCCACGACTGCTCTCCACACCACCACCCCCTGACGCTTAAACCATAACCACATACTCCCTGCTGATGTGATTTCATCTCTCCAAAGGAACTGCAAAGCGTACCTAATGTCTTACCCGACTGGCTCGTTCCCGAATCCAAATCCCATCTAGTCCAAGCAACGCGAGCACTAAGCGACCGTCCGGAACAATTCGAACGGATAGAGGATGAAGACGACACCCCGGGTCTCAAGGACGGATTCGAATGGTACATGAACCCGGCCGACAAGTCCAAGTACGAGGAGATCTACTTTGCGAACAAGAACCACCGCGGAGAAATCACATGTACGTCGCCCCACCTTAATACCCGAAGCTCTACATGATACTCTTCCTTCTCCCATCCCTCCCTGCCTTATCCACCGTTAAGACCCTCCCAATCCTTTCTGTCACGAATACTGATCCCCCCACCCCCGGGACAAATTAGTCGAATCACTACAGGGTCTGTATGACTCCCTAGACGTGCCGGACACGGACATCCGCTCGGCATGGAACCTCGTCAACCCGTCCGCCTCCCCCGCGATCAACAAAGACGCCACCCTTGCATTCCTGCACATCCTGAACTACCGCCACGAGGGCTTCCGCATCCCGCGCACCATCCCGGCCTCGCTGCGCGCCTCGTTCGAGAACAACCAGATCGACTACCAGCTGGACAACGTGCGACCCGCCCAAAAATGGGGTGGCGGCGGCGCCAACGGCGACAACACCACTGAAACCGCGACCGGCCGGAAGGCCAAGTTCGGCGACACGTACCTGAGCCGCCTCGGCGCCGGGGGCAAGACCTCGTACACCCCCAAGGGCACGGACTTCAGCGACACCATCCAGGACGAGGAGTGGGAGAAGGTGCGGCTGCGGCGCGAGCTGGCGGAGCTGGAGGCCAAGCTGGACGCGGCGCGCAAGGCGTCGGAGGGCCGCCGCGATCGCGACCGTCCCCGCAACGACGGCCGCCCCAACTGGGTGCTCATCAAGAAGGAGGCCCTGCAGCTGCTGGAGTTCAAGGAGCGGGAACTGCGCGAGCTCCGTGAGGGCGCCGGCCGCACCAAGGACGGCCAGGACACCGAGCGGCTGCGGGAGGACGTCAACGCCGTGGGCGAGCAGGTTGAGGGCCTGAAGACGCACCTGGCGCAGCGGAAGGAGGTGCTCGCCGACTTACGGCAGCAGATCGAGGAGCAGAAAGTCTCCCGGTAGTTTGTCTCTTGTCACTTGGCGTTGCCCTCCCCCCACCTTTGCTGCCATGTTTCTTCTCTTCGTTCTTTGAATATAATCTTCTACCTTCTTGCTGCTATTGGTGCGGGACTTTGTTTTCTGCCCCCCTTTCGAGTCTCGTCACCACGCTGGGCACTGTATAGCCAATTCGTCTTTCACATTTCAGTTTTCATATCTTTCGGGCGAGGAGCTCCAGGCGCATAAATGGATGTTTGAACTTTGTTCCACTTTGCCTTTCTCTTACTTTTACAAGTCCAAGTTCCAGCTTCCCAACCAGGGCCTGTGATATACATACATAGACAGCTCAAAAGCCAGCTGCTGATTCCCTATCGCTGCACCAATTCACCAGTTCTAACTAGATATTATACCCTAAGTATAAGTTTTGCTAATTTAGACTGTATAACTTTAGATATTAGAAGCTATAGACTGTTTGTTAGCTTGGATTGAAATGAGAAGTAATATTTTATGTTGTTACAATATAAAACACAGATACTACGGAGGACACCGCTAAGATTTTGAATTATAACTCAAAAGACCTAGGCTGTTTTCACTCAATACCTTAAAACACATACATGTACAGTAAACTGACTCACAGTACCATATCCCAAACAAGGCTCCCTCTAAAGAAGACCCAATGAAAACAAATATTCCCTCCCTTTCCCAAATGATTACGCCACCCTCGTCTATTTTTAAGCCCGTCCATCGCCCATCCCAAACCAGACAGAGCACCGCGCTTAGACGCGCTGAAAACGCACACACACACTCACATATACATACATACACATGTAAATCTCCAACCAAACCCGACGACGCAAAAGAAGCCAAACACCAAGGCGGAAGATTTAGGAGAATTACTTGGTGACAAGCTGCTCCATCAAGCCACTACCATCCCGCTTAGTCTCGACCGCCATGAACGCGCGACCACCGGCATCCAACCCCTTCTCGGCGCGGGCGTAGGCCTCCTCACTGCGGTCAGTGAGCACATCCAGATCGGCCTGCGAGAGGATGGCGGAGGCATCGGTGCCGGTGCCGGTGCCGGTCCCCAGATCGAAGCGCTCGTACTCGTCCTCGCCGAGGGCCTTGCGCAGATCCTCGATCTCGGACTGCGTCAGCCCGCCGGTGGCCGAGGAAGACGAATCCAGCAGACTCCGGAACTTGCCCTTCTGGATGACCAGACGCTCGAGGCGGCGCTTCGAGTCCGCCTTCTCGAGCAGGGTCTGCTCGACGGTGCCCTTGGTGGCGAGCCGGTACACGATGACGGGCTTGGTCTGGCCGATGCGGTGGGCGCGGTCCTGGGCCTGCAGGTCCTGCTGCGGGTTCCAGTCCGAGTCGAACAGGATGACCGTGTCGGCGGCGACGAGGTTGATGCCCTGCCCGCCGGCGCGCGTGCTCAGCAGGAACAGCTTGTAGTCCGGGTCGGTGTTGAAGGCCTTGATCTGCGCGCGCCGGTCCTCCTGGCTGACGGCGCCGTCGATGCGGCAGCACGGCCAGCCGCGCAGGTGCGTCGCCCAGTCCTGGAGGATGTCCAGCTGGGTTTTGAACTGCGAGAAGATCAGGACTTTGTGGCCTTTCCCCAACAGTGCGGGGAGGAGGCGGTCGAGGAGGAGCATCTTGCCCGAGGCCGTGACCAGGGTCTCGTCGAGGGCGGTTGGGTCGTCACTGCTGCCCCACGGCCAGTAGAAGTTGTGCGGCGAGTTGCAGACGAGGCGCGCTTGCATGACTGGGTTCTGCATCTTCTTTTGCGCGATTTCTCGCTCTGCGAGGTGCAAGGTTAGTATCAGAAGTGGACTACCCTGGTTTTATGTGGCGGAGAAGGGTGATACATACTGGCTAGTTTGATGGTCTTGGCCCTCTCCAATTCCTCTTGCTCGGTCTCACTGGGTTCGTCGATGTCAAGATCCTCCTCCAAACCCTGCTCGAGCTTGCGCAGCTTCGTGTTGAATTCGCGATCGCTCAGCTCCTTGTAGCTCTGCGGCCCCCTGCTGCGTCTTGCTGCCCGACCTCCGCTGGCCGGGGTGGAAGCACGACTTGATTTGAGGCTCTTGTTGGGAGACGACGCTTCGCTCGCCTCCGCGCTTCGCTTTAGACTCTGCGAGCGGGACAATCTGTCGTTCTGGGCCAACAAACGCTCGGTGGCTTTCTCCTCGAGATATTGCCGACCGGTGCCATTGAGGATCTCACGATAGAGGTCTTTCTGTTCGATGGTCAACGGCGCGTACAGAATGTACTCCCGCTTCTTGGGGAGGGAGGTCTCGACATCGGTTTTCACGCGGCGCAGGAGGAAGGGCTTCAGGATGGAGTGCATGGTCGACACGAGGGTGCGTTTCCGGCGCTCCATGACATCCGTCTGGCCGCTCTTATCCAACATGGAAGAGAAGTCAAACCAGCTCTGGAAGCTGTTCAGGTCGTTGAAGATCTCCGGGAGAAGGAAGTGCAGTAATGACCAGAGCTCCGTGATGTTGTTCTGCAGCGGGGTACCGGTGATCAGTAGTCTGTTGGCCGAATTGTAGGTGAGAAGCTCCTTGATGAGCTTGCAGTTCATGTTCTTCAGGCGATGTCCCTCATCCTGCGAGTTATTTGATGTCAGTCCAAACTCCCCTTATACCCCCCTCCCCTGCTCCGTCACGAGAATGCGAACATACCACAATGATATAGCGCCATTGATACTGCGCCAGGAACTTCCGATCATTCATACAGATCTCGTAGGAGGTGCACACCACGGGGAAATCCATCTCCCTCTGATTCCGCATGCTCATAAACTTCCTCCGGAGCTCCGCACGCTGGTCCTTGGTCCCATGATACAAGACCGTCTTGATGCCCGGCGTCCATTTGGCGAATTCATCCACCCAATTACTCACCGTGCTCAAGGGGGCCGCGATCAGAAAGGGGCCCGAGACATTCTTCTCCTTGAAGAAGGCCAGCAACGAGATCGCCTGCACCGTCTTGCCCAGCCCCATCTCATCGGCCAGAATCCCACACAGCCCGTTCATCCACAGCGACTTCAGCCACTCCAGCCCTTCCAGCTGATACTTCTTCATGCGACCCCCGGTCACCAATTCCGGCTGCTGCGTAGCGACCAGCTCCTGTCCGCCCAAGGCCGTCGGGTTCGCCTCGTACTCATCCGCCGCATGCTCCAACGCTTCCTGGACCGTGGGCTTCTCCCGGTCAACACTCACATCCGCCTTCTGGAAGTAGCTCGAGATCGTGTTCCCAGTGGCAGCCGGCTTCCGCCCACGCCCTCGCCTGGTTTTGGTAGCTTGCTGCGGTGGCTGTTGCTGTTGCAGTCCACCTTCCTCCTCCGCCTCAACGGCGCCATTCGCACTCCCACCCTCACTCAAATTAGAATTAGAATTAGCAGCCTGCCTCGCACTCGTCCGCGTCCGCGTCCGCGTCTGCCTCGTTGTCCCCGCGCCATTCACCTGCTGCGCCGGACTACCACCAGCCTTCGCTGCCTTCGCCGTCGTTGCAGCTCCTCCCTGCTGCTCCCGCATCTGCTGCACCCTCAAAGCCTCCGCCCTCGCCTCCTCCTGCTGTTTCTTCATCTTATCCGCCATAATTGCCACGAAGACCTACCCTCCCCCCAAAAAAGAGTCAGCCTGAGAAAACCCCTTTCAACAAAACAAACCCCGGCGCGAAGCAACAAAACAGGTGGATAGCAAACCAACCTCACTCGTATTCAACAAATGCATCAACGCCTTCGCCTGTACATCCATGCCCTCCAAATCCTCCGCGGGCCCGGGACCGGAACCGGGGTTGCCATTCTGCTCGACAGTCGTGTTCGTCATTTTGCTTGGTGCTTGCTTTGCCGCCCCTTTCCCTTCTCTATCTCTGTTTCTGAGCTCGGGTGAATGAACAGCGAACGGGCGTCCGTCGAGTTCGCAATCGGCTTCCGTAGGCGAGTAGGCGAGTTGACGAGTTGGCGAGTACGCGATGAATTAGGTATTATGACAAATATGAGAGTATCCTCTGTGCTGCCCAATGAATCTCGGAAATCGTACGTAGAATTAGGGCGTGCAAGGTATCAGTTCGCCACCCAAGTAGAAAAAAAAAACCTGTGGATTATGTAGCTGGAATTGAGGGTCAGATTCTCTCTCCGCTATTCGCCGCTGTGGCGCACGCACGCGCGCGGGGAGTGGTCGATATGGTCTTGGGTCGCGG